AGGAACGTATTAAATTGCATTCCCACCAGCAATGTAGATTCCCTATTTAACAAATGGTGCTGGACGAACTGGCTGGGGACCTGTATAAGACTGAAACTAGATCCACACCTCTCACCATTAACTAAGATAGATTCTCACTGGATTAAGGACTTAAACTTAAGACATGAAACCATAAAAATACTTGAAGAAAGTGCAGGGAAAACACTTGAAGAAATTGGCCTAGGCGAATTTTTTATGAGACAGATCCAAACTTTCATAATCCAATTTTCATTCAGTTCACTTGTTACGACTGACTCCAGGGTTGTCCAACCTTTTGGCTTCTCTGGGCCGCACATTAAATACACAAACACAAAAGAAAGCTGATGAACCAAAAAAAAAAAGGTCTGTGTATATGATGTCTGCTATCAGAGACAGGCAAAAAAATGTCCTCATATAATCTAATTCTGCAGCAGCCTACTGAGAGTCTTTTTAAAAATCATTGAGCAGGTCCCATGTTTTCAATCACTAACATATAAAATGTATAACTTAAGTAATAAAATGTCTTTGGTTTTTTTTTATTATAAAAGAAAAGTGGGCAACATAAAACTAGTAGGATATTTGACATTGTCCTTGAGAAACTAATGCATTAATATTAATATCTCTTCCATCAACTACTGGTTTGATGGAAGTAGTTGCAATTCTCAGTGAGTTCTCAAGGTGTTCATTGGATATTTTGTTTCTAATTTTACTCTTAATGTGCTTTATTCTTGAAAATAGTTGCTAGTAAATGCGGTTGCTGCCCAAAAGCAATGACATACATAAGGCATGATTGTGAAGCAAGGGGTGTTTGTCTCTGGAAAGATAAGACCCATGAAAGTTCAGTAAAGAGACATGCTCAAATTTTCTTTAAATTCAATGTCAGAGTGCAGCTCTATGCATTCTGCAATTTGGCAAGTAACATATCAACAGAAAATGGAGTCAGAACTGCATTATTATTTCCCTAGAAATCATAAAATCTGTTTTCAAATTCTTGTATCAAGTCAAGAAGCAAGACTGTATTTTTCACCAGTCATAAGAACTGTGGTTAGCCAATGTGTCAAAATGTATAAAATTGTTTGCCGTAATTTAAGCTTACCATAATTCATTTTCATTTGGAATGCTGTTATGATTTGAAACATTGTATTGATAAGTTGGTTTTCTTTTTTTAGAAAATTATTCACCTTTTATTAATTAGCACCTTAGAAGAAACCAAGAAGATAGATGAAGTAGTAGAGCAAGGATAGCTCCCAAACACGCACAAAGGAACAAAGGCAGATGGGCTCAGGAAGCAGAGGCAGAAGGGAGGCTGCACCCTCTGGGAATGGGCCCAGACCCAAGGGTGCTCCAGGATCTGGGCCAGGGGCAGCCGTTCCTGGGGCTTGGATCAGAGAAGCTTGGAGATCAGGTCCTGGGCACCCAAAGGCATTGTTTAGGGGAACCTCGCATCTTGAGGATACATCTGTAGGTCTCATTGTAGGAGGTGCTCTCAGAGGGTGCAGCTCATAGCAGAGCACCCCAATGCACCACAGACCCACCTCTTCATGTCCTCCCCTCGACCATTTCTGGGGGCAAGTAGTCAAGTGTTCCACACATTATCTTTCTCTTCAGAGAGGGGGTATGCACAGACCAAACAAAATCTGCAATCTTCACCTCACCCCTGAAACCCAGAAGCAGGGTTTCTGGCTTAATATCCCTGTGAATCACTTTTTTGTCATGGCAGTAAGTCAAGGGTATCTGCCAACTCCTCCATTATCTGAATGAGCAAAGCAAAGGCAATCTGGAAGTAAAACCTGCCCAATTGCCCATGGCTGTTCGCTGCTCATCAAATGTGTGGTTTTTCTGCAGGTCCCTGTACAGCTCACCCATTACAGCATATTCCAGAATCAGATACACACAGCGAACATCATGGAAGTAATTACACAGCCTTAGGATACTGGGGTGTTACAGATGCAACTGGATTTCACTTTCCCTGTGCAGCTGGTGCTCCAGTCCTTTCTTCTCTATCTGTGACTTGAAAAGAACCTTCAGGGCCACAATACAATGGCTTTCCTTGAGCCAAGCCAGGTACACATTTCCAAATTTCCCCTGGAAAGGCGACAGGGGGACATGAGGCCCAGGCCAAGGCTCTTCCAATTCACTGGCTCCCGCGGTCTCCTCCTGTGTGTGTGTGTTGGCGGGGGGGGGAGGGGGGTGTCAAGCAAGGGCTGGTAGCTTCCAGATCTGACATATTGTGCCAATAAGTTGGTTTTCCCCTTGAAGATGCACGTTTAACTCATTTAAAGTTCTGGCACAAATTTGGTTACCATAAACAACTTGATAACATGTTGCAAATCATAAAATCTCTTCAACATTTAGCCTCCACTTGGCCATCTTACTTTTGAAAGGTAAATGATGCCACTTCAATCAGCATCAATACTTTTAACAATTTCCTGGAATTGGTAATGATGCAATCCCTTGGCCCATAACTATACCAGATTCACTGACATGGACAAAGAAACATAGGTATTTTTACTATATCTTTTAACACAGGTATTTTTACTGCTTCTTATAAATCTCCTGATTTAATTGTGTCTTTTAATGGCACTAAAGAAGCTATTTCTTCATTGACATTGTATTTGTCATCAATTTCTCTAGTAAAAATGGTAAGTGGAGCTTACCAATGCTGTCATCTATCACCAAAGCATAACATTTAAAATTAACAGCTTCATTATCCAAACTTCCTCCAGTAGATTTTCTAATTTCTTTAATTCACCTAGCTATAGTCTAGTGAGACAACTTGATTTCTGAAGTATCTGTATTTTTTTCAGGGCAAATTACATCTGCCATGCTTTCTGTACATTACTTAATAAACTCACCCTTGCTAAATGGCTTTGATTTTTTGCTATTAAATGTGCTACCACATAACTAGCAGAATTATAATCTTTAAAAATAATTTTTGTTCTGAGGGCAGACTTTTTATCAGTTCCACTATTTTGTCCCTTCAACACAATCCTTCACATACATCAAATTCGGCAGCATGTTTTTACATATAATGTCTTTTCAAATTATAGTCCTTGAAAATTTATTCCCTACAAG